ACAAACAAAAAAATGAACTTCAAACGCAGAGTTATGCAAACTTAGAGTTGCTTTCTGTTTGTTTAATACAGCTAATAGACCATCCATGCATCTCTTCTAAATGCCGGATTAGGTTAAAGGAGAACTGGACATTTCCTGGTAACAGGTTTACTTTCCTACCGTTTTCTGTTTTTGAGCAGGAAACTGGAATGCAGCAAGGATTAATCTAGGTTTTATCATCTTGCCTCAGACTCCCAAGTAGCTACCATTTCTGATGTGTACTACAACTTCTGTGTAAGCCTATGTCATTATGCATGTGGTATATGCATGTATACATATATGCGCACATATATGCAGGTGCATGAGCCTGGGCCAGATACTGACATCTAGTGTCATTCTCAGTAGCTTTTGACCTCACACTGAACCGAACCTGGAGCTCATTGGTGAGGCGAGCCTGGCTGGCCAGAGACCCCCATGGAGCCTCCTCTCCTGTTTGTCTCCAGGGCTGGGATTTCATGTCTGTGCAGCCACACGTCTGGGCATAGGAACCCAGATCCTTGAGCTTGCATGACAAGCACCTTACCCTCTGAGCCCTCTCCAGCTCTACACTGAAGAATTAAAAAAAAAAAATGGAAGAAAAGGATATTAGAAAGCTGGATATTTAGTTTAAGAATGATTTAGAGGTTTCATTTAGATCACAAATCTATTCAAAAACCATCAATTTACGGAGTAAAGGTAATAAAACTAAACATACTATTTTCTCTCTTGAAATAGAATACTATTTGAGACTTTTAACTTAAAATCAATTTAATCCCATAACAGATAAAACACAAAGGCTCAGGACTTCACTCTTTTAAAGATTCTCTTTAAGATACCAAAAGATTTATAAACATACACTGCCAGCTAGTTAACCAATGGGATAACCTGGTTTTAAATGGGGCCACAACCACAGACAAGTTGTTGCTAACACTTGGAACCACGACGGTGACACCTACCCTGTCCCTATACCTGATGCTTACGAGAGGTCTCTGAAAACAGTCTTGTTTCTTGTTCTCCTGATTCTAGAGGAAGTACACAAACTTGTTTCAAGAATGCTGCTCTAAGAAATCAAGATGCAAAGGAACACAAAATCCCACAAAGCACATCACTTCATCTCTGAAACGGCAGCACTTCTAAAGGACCAGAAACATGTGTAAAGCGTTTTGCTTTCATTCCTGGGAAAACCAAGGGCACAGTCTCTGAGTACCCATAGTGCTTCATGGAGCGGGCTGAGGAAGCCCTCAGTCCATGTATGTTGTCTGACACGGGCCCAGCTCAGGACCGGGAAGGCCTTGGTCTGGTCCAAGTATGAGTGTTTACAAATGATTGACCAGTGTGTGCAGAAACTAGTGAGTGCGGCTCCCTCCTCCTGGATGTTTACTGCCTGAGACTGCTCATCCTTGGATACCCGTGGAGACTAGCTGACTCCTCCCTCAATACTGAGCACAACACACACAGAGGTTCCTGACTGCTGCGGTAGTTGGTGCCACTCGATGTGAGCCCAGCTCTTCTGCATGTGTGTCTGTCCTTTCTCCCCTCACTGCCCCAGCCGGCTCCCAGACCCACGCCATGTAGGGTATGCTAGTTTTACAAGTCCTTTACTTCAAACTTTCACTATGCTTCCAGAAACTTAAAAAGACTATTTTTGGTAGTTCAGTTCAGCGGCAGCTGTGTTTCTAAATCAGCACATATCTGCAATCAAAGTACTTGAGAAGTGGAGGCAGGAGGATCAAGGGTTTAAGGCCAGCCAAGCCTTCATAGCAGGTTCAAGGCCAGTTTGGGCTTTAGGAGACCCTGTCTCAAAAGCAAAACAACACAACAGCCAAAAAAACTCAATTTCACACAGGTGAGACTGTTCCTCTGGTGTTGACAAGGCAAAAGAAAACAAGTCATATCCTAAAACATTAAATTCAGCTCTTTAAGGGAGCTGTATATTGTTTATATGACAGGATTGGATACTAATTAGTAGAGAGTCAACGTGAGCCGTGTTGGGGTTGGCTGGAAGGTTAAACGATGACATGATAAAGCCTCCTTTATCATGGTCTATTAGCACAGACAGCAAGCCTTGTCTTGCTTTTGCATTCTTTACTGGTGAAAAGGGACTCGGGACCTGAAGATAAAAGCTTGGCAGCCACCCCAGGCTAACACTTGTGACATTCGCATCTCCAGCCCCACGGGCTGGCCACTTTTCATCAAGAAACTTCCACTCCTCAGGTGGCTGTGCCTTCCCTCTGTGTTCACTTTTCACTGCTTTAGACTGGATTTGCTATCTCACCTGGATGATTTTAATCGTCATGGCTAGGGTCCCTAGAGAGCATTTATCGTCCTGATCTATCCACAACGTTGCTGCAAGCGTGCTCACTCTGTATTAAGAAACTTCATTCACAGTATGCCTAGGTATAAAGCCCCACAGCTTAGAGTCAAGCCCAGGTGCCCCGCGCCAGAGTTATCTTTCCAACCTCACGCCCTGCGATGCCACACACAGTGCTGCAGGTTTCTGACCACCTGCTCTTCCTTGACAGGGATAACTCAGGACAGACGGAGGAGCCCTGCCCCACATCCGTTATGTTTCAAGGACTAGCTCAGGCCCGTGCCGTGAAGCTTCCCTGGCCCCTCCCTCTCCTTTCCAGCAGACTCAATCCTTTTCTCTGACCAGATTAGCTTTTAGTTTGGGGAGAGGATACACAAGAATGAGGGGTCATTTTGAATGCCAATAAGCACGGAGTGAAGGAATCAAAGCGCTTATTCTCTAGGGACTGCAGTGGGCAGAAAGGCCATCCTACATGGTGTCCTCATGGTGAGGCACTGCAGTGGGCAGAAGGGCCTTCCTACATGGTGCCTTCATGGTGAGGGACAGGAACTGTTTCAGAAAACAAGACTTGGAGTCCACGTCATCTCCAGAGAGAACGATTTTGTCCATTTTCTTTTGTGAAATCGAGGGGTCTCTGGGATTTTGAGTGGTCAGATCTTTTCTGTATAAATCAACCAGGGGCCAGTCTAGGCATTAGGAATTCCAGTTTCTCAGTTACTCATACAGCCACTGACCACACAGTTGAACTGAATAATTGTCAAGGGTTTTAGAAGGAAAGCAGACATTTTTTGAGTCTAAATCACTGTTTAGACACAGTCTGTAGAGCAAGGAAATAAACCTCCCATGGAGTACCTCCTGGTTTTCTATAACATTACAATTCAAATGTTTCCTTGGCTTTATACTAAAAAAAAATTCATGTGAAATAATTGTTTCTTTCAATCAATTTAAGGTAAAATGCCCCCAATATACTGTTAGAATCTTATTAAGTTTCGCATCCTTTCTAAATGACTAGGGGCCTGGCTTCCTAGATCAGGGTGTGCCCTGATAGTCTGCACCTCTCACTCTTTGTCCTTACTACTAAAGCTCCTGTCAGCAGCGACACATTTCTCAATGAAGAATTCAAACAGTATTATTACAAATGTTTAAACAAACTGAACAGCAAAGTTGTGCTCACCACAGAGGCAAATACATACTCAAAAGTATCTTTAGGAAATGGAGAAACTAGGTTTTATAATTAGGGTAATATTTCATAGTATGACTTTCAAAATGAATGGGGACTCTCAAACCAAATACATTCAGAGCACTAGCTAAAAGACTTCTTGGGACTGTGATTTTCTTTCGTAAAGACGGCCAAAGCGCTGGAGGTGTGTAAACAGTACCGGCAGCGTACAGAATCCCAGCTGCTGGCCTCTAACCCTTGCGCACATTCTGAAACATAACTAAAGGAAGCTGTTCAACTTAACAAATGCCAAACATCTTTGAAACTACTAAAACATTGTTAGGAAGAAACATACAAAGTGACGGCTTTTGTTTTGTTATCTTAACTCTAAAACTTTCTCAAGGCTCGATCTGACTGGAAAGAAGAAATCCTCACCACACATAGTAGAATCAATCTGAATCAGGATACAATTGCAACCCAATTGCAATCCAAGGTCAAAGGCGTGGAATCACTTTCCTAACTCCAACCTGCTACGGGCAGTGCACCTGTCCTGCAGAGAAGCCTAAGTACCAGTCGGCGTTCATAAAGGATTTCTTGTTGCACGCTGATGTTTTTATTCTTGTTTTTTAAAGAAAAACATAGCCAAGAAGCCACTATATTTGCAGCAGCTTGGCATCAGGGAAATTAAGGAGTATAAGCTAAAAACACCCTACAAGATTAGTTGCAACTGTAAACATAGGTAAATAAGTCTGTGTGTGTATACATATACACGTACATATGTATACACACACACACACACACATATCCATGTACAAAAAGACACAGGAATGACCTTACTAATAACGCTTAGCCTCTTCAAGATAGGCTTTTGATAAGAGTCCACATCCCTTAAGCAATGAATTGGAAACTGCTTTCCCACTTAATACTATTTAAAAAGAGTAACTTTTCTGCATGTTTTCTGGGTGCCATCGCCTGTTTCCCAATATCCAGCTGACAGAACACTCCTCTAGCTTTTCCACTGAATTTGCTATATCCTGTAACTACAATTGTGCTTTCTTAATTTACTGTTAGAAATCACTAATCTCGATATTTTAAAGAAAACACAATTGATAGTTCTTTCCCTATCTGTTAGCAACCGATGTCTAAATGACCTCAACTGTTCCCTTTGAAGGGCTTTCAGACAAAGAACTGTAATAGAACACAAGCCTGTGCTGAGAGGAGACCTGAGGGGGTAGGGAAAAAATCCTTTCCCCAGTAGGCAGAGACAGGGGTGGGGCGGGGGATGCAGGGAAGCTGAGCCCTAGATAATAAGAAAAGCCAAGAGGGGCTTCTCTCCTCCTCTGACCCTCCCGGCCCTGAGACAATGAGGATGCTGCTGAGAGCGGTGCTAACAGCTGGGATCTGACCGTACCTTCGTGGGTGGGCTCTGGGTCAGGTGTAAGGGAGATGTCATCCAGCTGCTGAGAGCGGTGCTAACAGCTGGGATCTGAAACAGCTGGGATCTGACCGTACCTTCGTGGGTAGGCTCCGGGTCAGGTGTAAGGGAGATGTCATCCAGCTCTCGCAGGCAGAGCCATTCTCCGTCCATTGACACTCGGAATTTGCAAAGGTAGATGGTCTCCATGGCAGCCTGTGTGATCTTGTCAGTGGTGGGGGTTGGCATGTCAGTCGGAGGCGTCAGGGCCGACATGATGACTCAGCTGGGACCACAACACACACACACACACACACACACACACACACACACACACACACACACAAACAAATAAGACCTTGGAACCAAAAAAAAAAAAATTACCAAATCCCAAGCTCTTAAACAAAGCTTTCAGAAAATGGAATAGGAGACGTTGGGGAAAAAAAGAAAGAGAAAATAAAAATGTCTTGTAGTGCAAATTGCTCAAAATAAACAATTCTATACTATCTTTTCTTACTGACAATTCCTAACAGTTAGCAAAATTAGATGGTGTCCGTCTTCTCCCAGCGTCCTCTCCTTTATCTTCCTTTCCCTTTATTCCAGCCAGGCTATCTATAGGCTAAAATCCTACACACCCAATGCTGTCTTACAAAGCTGGTTTTCAAAAATTGGTCTTAGCATGGATAAATAAAAAAATCCTCCTTCTTTGTGCAGAAAAAAATACAAAAGAAAAAATACAAAAAAAATCAACCTATATTTTAAATTTATCTGAAAAAAATTTGAGCAGCAGAAATCACTACAGGACCTGCTCAGACGAGCCGGGATGCTGAGTTCTAACAGGATTGGCTGTGCGCAGTAAGCAGGGTGTTGACCAAAATGGCTGACTAATGAACTGAACTGAAAATTCAGGCTCATGTGACCAGCTGCTCCGAGAGAGCGCTGGGCGAGCAATTCCCAGGATGCTTTATAGATGCTGCTGATGCAGGAAGAGCAATTAGGCTGCTTCTCTCATCCTGCACAGCCCACTTCCAGACTGTGCTAGTCAAACTATGATCAGACCTAACACAATGCACAGATCCTCATCAATTGTTTACTCTCTTGAGCAGAAGGGCAGGAAAGTAGGGCAATATTAAATAATGCTCTGTGATAAGAAGCAATCAGAAAAATTTACTAAGCACTTGATTCACTTCTCCCCTTGTACATTCTGTTACTAAAATTCTTGACTACATAAAAGCTGACTTTTTTCTTCCCCCTCCCCTCAAGACAGGGTTTCTCTGTGCAGCCCTGGATGTCGTGGAACTCACTCTGTAGGCCAGGCTGGCCCTGAACTTACATAGATCTGCCTGCCTCAGCTTCCTGAATTCTGGGGTTAAAGACATGAGCCTCCACCACCTGGCAAAAGATGACATTTTATGAACAGCTAAAATGGGTTTTATAAGGTATCTTATTCTTAGGCATTTATAATTTGGTTTTATAAAATACGAAGGACTTGCTTTTTAAGACAGTACAGGAATACACACATACACACACACACACACACACACAATCTTAAAGCTAAAAAAAAAAATAAAATCCTTCCTGATCAATGCCAACTCCTTTTGCTTTTGATATATTAACTAAGTGTCTGCTATAAATAAGAAGTGCATTTCTAAAAAGAAATTAAAACCATGTTATATTTTTAAAAATCTTCCTTTCCTGGAATGTACTGGACACATAATTAAATTCTTAAATCAGTCAATATGTGTGCAATAGCAATTTGTGTTACTATTCATGCCCTGACCACACAAAGCCTTGACCTAAGAGGAAAGAACAACACTTTTAAAATATTTTAGTGACCAAAGACACCTTCCTCCCATTTAAGGATTTCAGTTTAAAGGAGAAAAAATATCTCTTCGAGAAATCTAACTCAGGGCTGGAGAGGTGGCTCAGTGGTTGAGAGCACTGAGTGCTCTTCCTGAGGAGCCAGGTTCAATTCCTAGCGCCCACATGGCAGCTCACAAGTGTCTGTAACTCCAAGAACTGATACCCTCATACACACAGACAAAATGCCAATGCGCATAAAATAAAGATAAATTATTTTAAAAAGAAAAGAAGTCTAACTCAAACAGCGAGGGCTATGGAGAGAGAGACCCTATCACATAAAGAAATCTAATCCAGGCAGGCATGGAGAATGGCACATGCTTGGCAGCCACATAGCAAGTTTGACACCAGTCCAGCCTAGGCCACACGAGACTCTGTCTCAAAAAAGTGATGGGTGAGGAGGAGCATGGGGGGAGAAAAGGCTCCAGGTCAATGACATAGTTGAAAACATAGGACAACATATACATAATAACTTTGGATGCTCTGTGTTTGTCTAGGGTCCAATACAGACTCCCCCAGTATCTGCAGGGATATATTCCATGTTTTCCAGATGTCTGAAAGCAATGATAGCTGTTTTCTTATACTGTACGTACATATGACTGCTAAATTTATAAATTAGGTACAGTAAGAAGGGATTAGTAACTGCGGGGCACACGTGCCTTTAATCCTAGTACTCAGGAGGCACTGACAGGTGGATACCCAAGTTCAAGGCCAGCATCATCTACAGAGGGAATTCCTGGACAGCCAGGGATATACAGAGAAATCCAGTCTTGAAAAACAAACAAAACCAAAGAAATCGATATCTAATTATAAAATAGAATTATTAAAATATTGCAGTAAAGGTTAAATGCATGTGGCCTGTTGAAAATAACCTTTTCCTCCTTTTTCCTTAAGACAGGAACTTGTGTGGTACAGGCTGGCCTTGAACTCCCTATATAGCTAAGGGTGAAACAGTTGATCTCCTTGCTCATATCTCCCAAGTGCGAAAATTACGGGTTTTGCCACTACATGTGGTTTATACTGTTCTGAAGATCAATTCCAGAACATTGTGCAATGCTAAGAAAGCATTCTACCAACTGAACTATGTTCCCAGCCCCTAAAACATCTTGTTGTGCTGTAGAGATGACTCAGTCAGGAAAGGGCATGTCAAGGGAGGATGAGGACCGGAACTCAATCCCCAGGGACCAAGTAAAGCAGTTGGGCCTGGGGGCGCAGCTCGAGGGAGACAGAGACAGGTGCATTCCTGGGGCTTGCTGGGCAGTCAGCCTAGCCTAATGGATGAAATCCAGGCCAATGAGAGATTGTCTCAAAAACCAAGGTGGAGCCGTCCTGTGGAACATTTCCTGCGGCCTCCACATGCTCACGTGTGTGCGCACACACATACACACACCTTATTTCCCTGAACTCCCGTCTCTTCTTGCAATGATAGAAGATGGTACCATGGCCGGCTGTGGTGGATTATGGGGCATTATGACAGTGTCAGACGACAGCACAATGAGAACACTACCACAGGGCAGCTGACCTGGTAACAGGAGGGCAGCACCTCCAGGGTGAATGCACTAGACAAAGAGATCCATGCTTTGAGCTCAGGAGCAGAAAGAGGAGAGATCTCATAACACTCTTTAGAATGGAGTGCAATTTAAAACTAATGAAATTAAGCTGGGTGGTGGTGGCGCACGCCTTTAATCCCAGCACTCGGAAGGCAGAGGCAGGCGGATCTCTGTGAGTTCTGAGGCCAGCCTGGTCTACAAGAGATAGCTCCTGGACAGGCTCCAAAGCTACAGAGAAACCCTGTCTCGAAGGGTTCTGGAATGTTCACCTTAGAGTTTTCAGACTACAGTGGAGCTGCAGAGAGTGAATCCCCAAACAAGAATCATGCTAATGGACAAAAACTGAACTAGTTCAGACTGGTCACAAACTATGATATGCTATCTTTTCACCAGCCAGGTAACCTTACTAACCATGAAAGGGATCCAGACTGATGAAGACAGCACAGCAGGAATGTTTGGTTATGGAGTAAGAAGCTTGGCTAAGATCCCTCTGACCTCTCCCAATCCCATTCTACTCAGCCAGAGGACACAGAGAGAGAACCCACTGCAACTACAGCTTTGACTAGGAGAGGAAAACCCAATACTATTAATTTGCCTTATCTGTCAGTCTGTGGCAGGATTGGAGTGATTTAAAAAAACAACAGCATCTGGTAAGAGCACCCTTACCTTCACCGTGAGTTACACCTGCCCATCAGATAAAGGCCACTGAGTCATCATCACAATAGCTCATTGTTCAAAAGCAATGAAATTATTATAAAACAGCACAACTTAAAGAAGTTAACAAAAACATTTCAAAGTATTTCAAAGTGCCGTTTTATACATGGTCTTTACTAATACATAAATACATCAGCGTCGTCACATAAAAAGAAAACATTAAGCCATCAGTAAGACATGCAATCTGGACTTCTGAACGGTTTAGTATTGGTAGCATTACTGCCCTAGCATGCACTAAGTTCTGTCCCCAGCATCACGAAAAACATTACCTTTTCTCCTGTATACACTAACTATGAGCTACATTAGACTGTTTTCCTCATCTGTCCTATTTGTCGATAAGCGCATGTATTTGCAAGGTGGCTGTGAGAAGGGTGAAGGCATGGAACCCAAACCACTATGGATTGTGCTCTACCTGTTTATACAGCTTGAGTTTTCTACACTGAGTGACTCAAAGCAAACAAGACGCACATCTTGGGTGGAAGTTACATTCCTCGTAGACTGCGGCTCTCGCTCAGATGTGGCTACAAGACAAAGGCTGACTTGTTAGGTCCAAGGCCCCTGTTGTGCAGTATGGAAAAACTCTCATCAAGGTAATGACTTCATTCACGGAATTTCTGTTTTCTGTTAGGTGCTTACAAAATGCCACACGGAGTTTTCCCAAGCACGCTGCAGAGCAGACACTAGTGTATCCTCATACACATAAGGAACAGGCCCAGGATCACGCAATGGCCAGGTGGCCGATCTGCTGTCTGCTCCTCCACGCTGCTTGGGTCACCTAGGTGACACCCCCAAGCTGTTTTCTTTAACACTCTGCAACTTCAGCACTCAGGCAGGGTCCTTCCAAAGATCCTAAACATGAGTGTCCAGTCCCTGATCTGAAGAGAACCTTTTAAAAATCAGCCTTTTTAGTTCACACTCTGAAGTCTCACAAACCAGCTCCTCCTGGCCTCCCTCTCCCCTAGGCTTCCACACTCAGCTCAGAAACACTTCATAAATGGAAAGCTTCTGAGAGAGGGAGAACCAACCCTCTCACATTCTTCCTGTTCTGTGGTGGCGAGGGCTAGCCCTGCCCCCAGACACCATGATGGATGCCTCACTTGGTTCCCTCTGCTGTCACCTGGGGAGACAGCTGGAAACCACCTCACTGTGTACTGTTTACTCAGGTAGACCTCTAGGTTAAGAACACGTGATGCAGACAGGAGTGGTGGCGCACGCCCTCAACCCCAGCACTCGGGAGGCAGAGACAAGTCGATCTCTGTGGGTTCGAGGTCAGCCTGGTCTACAAAGTGACTTCCAGGACAGCCAGGGCTACACAGAGAAAACCGTGTCACAAAAAAACCAAAAAAAGAAAAAAAAAGAACATATGATACATCCAGATCCAGGGAGAAGATAAATGAAGGGAAAATCATCTTCTAAAATGAGCCCTGCAGGCTTTTAAAGAACTGCTTCACTGTACAGTTTTAATTCTGCAAAGCATTAACCATCATCTATGAAAAAACGGCTCAGCTGGAGAAATGGACCAATGATTGACAAGGATGTATGTGTGCACGCTCTCTCCTCTGAACTGCCTTTGCTTTTCAAAAGGAACTGCAGTAGGGGCAGTACTCAACCTTTGCTTTTCAAATGTTTATTTTCACTCTAGGTGGCCAAGTGTCTTTTTTTTGTTTTTGGTTTTTCAAGACAGGGTTTCTCTGTGGCTTCTCGAACTAGCTCTTGTAGTCCAGGCTGGCCTCAAATTCACAGAGATCCACCTGCTTCTGCCTCCCGAGTGCTGGGATTAAAGGCGTGGGCCACCACCGCCCGGCAATGAGCAATGTTTTATTTGCATGCATTCATGTCCTGTGCACAACATTAGTTTCTCATTTCCAAGGAGGCCAGAAAGGGGCATCAGATGTTAGGAACTGGAGTTAGAGATGGTTGTAAGCTGCCATGTAGGTGCTGGGAACCAAACCCAGGTCCTTTGCAAGAACAGAGCTCTTATCAGCTGCACCATATCTCCAGTCCTTGTTTTCCTTCCATATGGACACCATATTCTGGGTGTTATGTCATATTATCTTACGTGTAATAGCACATACATACAATCCCTAACAGGAAGATCAAAATTTACATACT